TGGTTGAGAATGAATTTGATTATTTGCGATTACAGAAACCTGGCTTCACCCTGACAAATTTGATCATATATCTTTTGGGAATTTCACCCCGAAGGGCTACTCCTTTAACAATATCTCGAGCAACAAGGTAGAGGGAGGCATTGGTATACTATAAAACAACACTTTAAAAGTCAAGCTGGACTCGGCGAAAATGTTCTCATATATTAAGTCTTTCGAAGTGATGGGTATGCAAATCAATGTGTCATCTCAAATTCTAAATATAATCGTATTATATCGACCTCCATGTAGACGATAAGTCGGAATTAACAACAAAAAATTCTCAATCTTGTTGATTCTTTTAATCTGGAACAACGTGTACACTAACCAACACACTTTGCTGGTCACACGTTAGACCTTATCTTGTCTCGCCATGAGGAAAATATTGTTCAATCTATTGACGTTCATGATCCATCTATATCTGACCATTACACGGTTACATATGAACTCAATTTTAAAAAACCATTGTTTCAGAGAAAGGTCGTGGAGTCACGTAAAATTAAAGCAATCAATATGGACTCGTTCCTTAATGAAATTAGGCTATCTCCGATTAAAACTGGGAACACGGCTGATATAAGTGCGAAAGTCAACCAATACAACTCGGAGCTGCCCAAATTCTGGATCATCATGCACCACTTATTTCCAGAGAGATAATTATTCGTCCAGCTGCACCTTGGTACACTGAACGAATTAAAAACGAAAAACGTATCAGAAGGAAACTCGAGCGGGTATGGCGTAAGTCAAGACAATCCTGTGATCGTCTAATACAGTCAGCAATGTCGCCGTGTCAGTGAGCTATTATAGGAAAGTCGTACTCGTTTTATTCTGAAATTGTTAGAGATAATGGGAGTGACCAAAAGAAATTATTTAAACCGTTGGAAAGTTACTACATTATAGCCCTGATTCTCATATCCTGTGTGCCAATCTGATGAGAATCTAGCTAACAATTTTATGACTTTCTTTGAGGACAAAATTAATAAATATAGGAAGATCTAACGGAATCCACTTAGCTAATAAAATGTCGTTGTTTGCAGCTAATGAAATGTCGTTGTTTGCAGTAATCCTCAGTTATTCTCCTGGTTTCTCATCGTTCCCAGTCTCTTCATCCTTACTGCAAAAACTGTTTGAAATATTAAAGATTTGGTGGAGAAATACTTCAAGTGTGTGGTCTTCTTTTTTCTTTATATTTTGTTATGTAAAATGTAATATTTTGGTATGTTGATTTTTGTTTAAGTTCGTGATGTATTTCTATGTAGCCTCAGTCTTTCCTAATGGGAATTTTTTTTTTAGATGTGAACTTAGGAACGTTATCTCCACTATATGAGGTATAAATTTTAGTACTTTGAATAAATTTTAGTCCATTTTTCTAGACATTAGCGATATTATGAATCTTTTTCTAGTTTTATAACTCCTTGTTTTTTACAGGAAGAAATACTTGAGAATTCAGTGTTGCCACATTTAGACCACATTGTCAAAGATCGGGATATTTCTGTGCGGATCCGAGCTGTCCAGCTTCTGGTCGATGTTATTGAATCCTCTGATTCACCGAAAGTTTGCGATGTTTTGCATATAATCGAGAAGGTACTCATACAATCATTTTCAGACGGTTTCATTTCTCCACTCCAATTTCCCTCTTCTTCGTGATGAGCTGATACTGTACTTCAATAGAAACTCTTTCTTATCAGTGAAAGCTTCCTGACCTGAACCTAACTATATATCCGCAAATTGGATCGTTTTACACGGGGGTCGTGAATGCAAACGCATCAGTGAAGTAAAGGATATATATTTCATTTATCAATTCCAGATTGCCACTGTCCAGTTGATCCTCTCAAGCGATACGTTAAGCCGTCATGTAAAGAACATGTAAGGTAATTTAGAGACTGCAAGGTATATGTAGGAACATCTAGAGACATAAAATTACATCTAATCACTGTAATTTGTCTTTGTTTCTGCAGCCTAAGGATGAAACAGCGTAGAAGACATCAAGGAGGCTGTATTAGGATTAGTACGCTTGTTCAAGGTAATGAAGGACATGCAGAGATTGTCCACACATATTCGTTCATTGTGATGAAGTTATTTTCGTGAACAAAATAAGTGTAATTTAATGCCACACTTGCTTCTCTTTCAGTAATTTCATTCTATTTTTGCAGATGAAATTGTTTCGTAAACCTCAAGAACGAGCCGAACGAATATTCAATATATTAGTGTACCACATAAAACGCATTATGACAATGGCTATCGGACGTATAGTGCATCGGAAATACGGCTTTCGGTAAGGCAATTCAATTTTATTTCTCGCGATTTTTCTATGATGTCTCACATTGTGTTTTCTTAAAGATTCTTCATGTTTCCTCAGTCTGCGAGCTGACAACGTCTAGGCCTTGTGCAAGACAAAAGTAGAAAGTTTAATTCACTTCGTATTTTGTTTGTTCTGAAAGAAAAGGTTGGTTAATGACGATAGTGCCACGTATGTCAGGTATTCTGCTTCCAAATCCTTTTCTTGTTTGCGTATACTTCTCATTTTTGTTTTAGTTCTGCAGAAGTAAGACAAACGGGATTGTTTCACTGCCTTACAGCGAGGCGATGAATGTTATTCTTGTGTGCTTACAACAGGTAAACTTTTCTATCATAATATATCATCTGGCATTAAGTTTCGAAATGAAGAAACCGAACTCAAGGAGTCAGGTTTGTAATGTTAAACAGATCGGCCATTGTTCGCGCATTTACGAAATGAACAATTATCTGCCAACATTTTAGACAGCGCAGAACAAAAGATGCTGCTTACAGAACACGGCAGATCTTCACCCTCGTCGATTTTATTACAAGATTCCGGTCAAAAGTTGAATCTTGGTTCGGCATTTGTTCAACGAACTCGATATTTGAGTCGTAGTCCGAGATATGGACCAAGCGCTTTTATGGTAAGAATTTCTCTTCAACTCGCTTTGCATGAAATTTATTTCGTGCAAGAACATTCACTATCCATCCCTTATATTGCTACTAACATGACTGGCAGGGGAAGCAGAAAAGAAAGAGATCTTTGATTTAGACTAGCTTTTTCATTTTACAATCGTTTCAGATTGATGTCGTACCAGATTCCAAGACACTGTTTTACACAAGGAAGAAACTGAAGGCAAGCGAAATTACCTTTGCAATATGGAGGAATATATATTATATATGACTATATTTACCTATTTTTCTTTCACAGGGAACAGTCAAGGCTTATTAACTCGTGAAGAGTTTCAAAAGGTAGCAATTTTAAGATCACGATCATCATCGTGCATTAATCTCAACATCTGTTTAATTTTAGCCTGTTCCTGGTAATCCCTTCTGGATGCAGTCCTTTGAAACTTTTTTGAGTTAAGACGAGGATAAACTTAATGAATCCGTAAGTCAAGTATAATAATGATAAATTGGTCTTATACGGATTATTAATACTGAGCTTTAAACCGGTAAACTCAGAACCGGTATCTCAATTTTGCACTTCGAATTACGTAATTTAATCCTTGTGGTTGAAGGTGAGGACTTGCAACGTTACTTATTTACTACAGGGTGACGATAGCGTGGGGAATTCAGTGGTCGGTAGACTTAGGGAAAGACACTCGTAATAATAGATTTTACAAATATCCCTAGCTTTTCCTATGAGTTACAATAAACCTTTACAATTGTTCATTGATGAGCTCAGAATGTTTCGTTATCACGTGGCCTATGCACGACTCTTAATGGTTACTGTTAATCTGTTGTAACCACCTGCTGTACTGGTACGATTATTATCACATTTTGTTTGAGCTTTACTACCCGGGGAAAACACTCAGCCACGTCGGGTTATTAGCTAATTCCAACAGCTTGTCGTAGTATTCATTGTGGAATAAATCTACAGAGGCACGTAGTTTTGCCATTTCATCCTTTAAAGATTAATCTGTTTTATTGATTCCGCAATATCGATTTTTTTTTCTTCTTTAATTGGACCGTCAATGACAAAGTATGATCCAGAACATGTTGGGTGATAATGAGAGCAGCCAAATTCAATTTCTCCACGTTGCGAAATGGACTGTGCGTCACTAGCTAATCTAGGAATGGCACTTCCTGCGATCCTCAAACTGCATAAATTGAGTGTTTCGTAGATAACTTTGAATGCATCCAAACAACCATCGCGGGATCTTATTCGTTCTACCCATCGTGTCGTGGGGCTTTGCGAGCTTGTTACAGGTTAAACCAAACTCTTTCATCTTTTTACTTAGATACTGTGAGCGGATAGGGAAACTGATAAAAAGCTGGCGATTTTTGTGCCTGACTCAAATATTTTTCACTGGAAGAATTGAACACGCTTTGGCAACATAAGGTTTAAACGATGACTGGAGTAATGAACATGCACGCCTTCGGGTTTTTCTCTAATATTCTCCCAGAATACCTTTTACCTGGCTGGACACAGCACTAGCACCGTCATATCCCTGGCCTCGACAATTTTGAAGGGAAGCCCGACATCTTGAAGTGTACTTTGACTAATGAACGGAATCAAATCCAAAGGCGAAACAGTTCGGTTACAAATGAAATGTTCTTGATCATGTAAAACTTCAAATTTATTCAAGGTATGTTATATAATTTAATGCTAATATATTTTCGAAATATTATAATTTGAACTTAAATCAGTGTCTACCGTCTACTTTTTTGCATATTATAAAGTAGCAAGCAAATTCAATGACCATAAACCCGGCATTATTTTAGAATTCGAAATTTTGACAGCATATTTTTGTAGTTTTGATAGTTTATACACCCCAACAGCCAAAGAATTTTATGATACTTATCCCTATATTGATCATTAACCCTATAGCATGTATTAATTATCCAGAAGTATAAGCTTGGAGTTATCATTAAAAGTGCCTTGCACCAGGTGAACTATATTTATTCAAATCTATTTACTAATTATTGTATTTTACTAATTTTGTATTTACTAATTATTGTATTTACTAATTATTGTATTTTACTAATTTTGTATACTCATGTGTATGTTATAGTGATAATATAACAATAGAGTTGATGTTCGCGGTCATAAATGTGTTTTTGGCCCGACTTCGAACTCATTTTAGCCCGAGCGTAGCGAGGGTTAAATGTGTTCCGCGAGGGGCCAAAACACATTTATGCCCGCGAACATCAACTCTATTACTATATATTAATAAACTATAAACTATTATTACTATATATATGTTCAACATCGTCAGCCTTCATCCCCTTAGCTCAGTAAGTCATGCGACATTCCATGTCAGTTCCAGTAATTGTTCATCTCAGACCTTGAAAGAAAAAACAAACATTCCAAACACTCCAACACTCCAAACACTCCATGTCTTCTGACCTGGATTCAAGTTTACTGCTTTTATCATCTTTTTTATTTCACGTTTCCATTTTGAACATGTCCAATTGCAAAAAGTATCCAGCCGACTTAAATAGTTTTATTTTTGCAGTTACTTTCCAGATACCGTTTGGTTAAGACTTGTGTATTATAGTATCATAGTTTTAAAACTTCTTTTTCTGTCAGATATTTTCAATAATTAGCTATCGAGACCATCCTCAGTTGTTCGGGCTGGAATACACAAGCGGTCAGCTGAGAAATTACTCGTCTTCCGACAGGTAGTTTAAAAAGCAGATTTTGTATGAAGCTATATAAATATTTCTTGTTCTGAATATGTGTATTTCACTCAATCTAGGGATATATCATTAGCTGGTTAGCTACACGGGGTTAGAGGCAGTGGAAATGGAGATGTTTGTGTAAAAACGACCCCAACGAAGAGACGGTACTGTACGCTTTTTCATAGATGATTGAGCGAAATTATGGTCAAAATTTTCCTGATGAAAATCTCGCACTGCTATGATTGCCGTAAATACGAACCCTCATTTCATTCTCCTCCTGACGTATGGGATCTCATATAACACACAACAATTACACTTCTCGTCAGGTATTCCTATTAGTCAGTCCAATACATCACATACAGCAAAGAAGAATTGTTTTTTTAAGATGATATATTTTTCAAGGTTATCGTTGGGGTCCATTGTATAACGTTGTTGACGAAGAAGTAGAAAGCAGTCATTTAAATTCCTCGCTGCGTCTCCTGGTGAATATTTCTCTTTTTATTTCACTTTAAATTTTTGAAATATCTCCAAAGCTTATATTGTCTTATTACTGGTTCCTTGCAGGAAATTAACCGAAGATGTGTAGAGATTTAACTGCAATATTTCCTACAGCGGTCTACTTCATGCAGTCACCAAAGACGTAAGTTGACAATTTCTTATTTTGTACTTTTCTGCAGACAATCCTGTGTAGAGATATTATTGCATTTTTACTGAGTTTTAATGTTCTGTCAAATCTGGATTAAGCTGTTTTCCACTCACGTGTTTTTCATACGCACGTTAGTTTTCTGCTTATTTTAGTATGCATTAGTTGTCCTAGATTTACAACATAATCGTTATAAGGAAGCGAGAATTTTAAATTGGCAGATTGAAGCTTATTATAATCATAACCATGTACGCACGGACTCGAGTTTACTTGATAGTCGATAGCGTCGACAGCAAATGACATTGAAACGTTTGTATGGATATTTCGAAGTCCTGACAGTAATTAATATCCCGTAGGTTATTTCAAAATATTTGACTAGCGACGTCGAACAAGGCCAGTTAACCGCGTCGTGGATCGTAAACTGACCTCAATACAGAAAGTGGGGACAAATAGCCAAAATACAAAACATTTTGTTCTAGGCCTCTCAGTTCCCGCCTCGCGCGTATAAGGAACGTTAAGAGGCCTAGGGACTACGCTGCGGTAACTCTGGTTGCTGAGTTGACTGGGTCCGAATCCATGAAATGGTAGATTTGAATTTTTCTCGCCAGAAGTACGGCTGGAATATTAAGTCTTTTAAACTCCATATATATTTCAAACGATTTTAAATATTTTGTAAGGACTTTTCCCGGAGAATAAAGAAAGACTTATCATTAATGCCATCACAATGCTCATTGCTCACGAAGGTATTGTATATCTTTGCCATAATATATTTAGTGTTCACCCCTAAATATACATATTCTGACTGCTATTACCTTCACAGGTATTCATATATACATAAATAGTTAAAATGTTTCGTCTATTTGCAGGAGACCAAAACAAATATCAGATAAAGATCTCGAAGCACTGTTTCACGCTTTGAGACATTAGGTTGGATCCAAAGCAGGTTTCACAACGCTCACTAGGTGAGAACGTTTATCTTTAACCACAACACACGCTGTTTACTCAACCAGCTCACTTTCTCTAGACCGTGTTTCTGTTTTGTTTTTACAGCTTCTATGAGAAGGTTGGTGTGAAACTGTGAAAGTTTGAAGAGGAATAATGAAGCCGTGACTCACGCCGCTGTCGACATACTGTGTGCTCTGATGCAGGTAAAGAGAGGGCTTTCCTTTAAGCGGCCAAATGGTCAGACCGGTCATATTTAAATTTAAATAGAGTATTTCGTTAAGAATATAGTTGCGAAATTTCCGAGCTAGACAGATGCAAGTAACGATATACTTGAACGCAGAGTTCTTGAAACACTCTAAATACCAGTAATCTGTCTGTACCGAGATCAACAATAGGACCGGTCTGGCCGTTTTTTCCGTATAAAGGAAAGCGCCAACACTTTAACGATGAATTTCCTGGTATATGTTGCCAAATCTGTCACTGTCATTAGTGTTACCCCTTTAACTTGCATCCACATAAACTCAGCCAACTTTGAAATCTGAATGTTAACAGGATCCAATTTTATCGAAACCAATTCTGTTTTTTTATATAGCCAACGCACGATAACTATGACATTCGACAAGAACAGATAAACAAAGCTCTTTGTTATCCTCTGAAAATTTCTAAGCAGTTTGTTGGAAATTCTCACGATAAATGTTGTAAGATGTGCGGTGTTGGTTGCCTATAATCTATGCTGAACCCTTGCATTTTTTTTTCCATCCCTCTTGTATGTATATAGCTTTGTTTTGGAAGAGAATTCCCTTGCAAAACCCAGCAAGTGATTCGTAGCAACTGCCTTTCTAATTTGAACTACCTTTCTAACTAAACACAAGAAATAGATTAACCATGAAAACTTTTCTTCTATATTCGTTCTACTGGGGTTTT